AAGGTTGGCTAAAGGTTTGTCAATTTTGTTGATTCTTTCAAAGAACCAGCTCTTGGCTTCATTGATTTTTTTGTATCATTCTCTTAGTCTCCATTGCGTTGATTTCTCCTCTGATCTTTACAATTTCCTCCCTTGTATGTGCTTTGGGGTTGTTCTGCTCTTCTTTTTCTAGAAGCTTGAGGTTCAGCCTCAGGTTGTTTAATTGGGTTCGTTCTGTTTTCCTAATATGCATATTCACTGTTATGAATTTCCCTCATAACACATGCATTCTTATTCCACTAGTGACTGCACAGTCTTGGGATAGTATTCTGAAGGTGACTGTCAGCTCTTTCCAGGAGGATAGGTAAAGCAATGACAATTATGGGATACATACATTCTGCCATGTTACAAGATGGAATAAAAGTCAAATTGCTAATGAGCATGTTTAGCAGAAGAGTCTCCTTTTGTTATTTTTTGTTTTACTTTTATTCATCTAAATTTTGCTTATTTTTGTATAATTTTAGAAAAAGCTCATGGTTTCCTTAAATTTGAAATTGACAGAAATTCTTTCCAAGTGCTTGTAGTTTGCAACATATGAAGAAATTGGGTTGGTTGTTGGTAAAATGTGGATCTAAAAGTATAAACAATCTTTCAAACAAATCTGTTACTGGAAAACATAAGCAAGAGTAGAAAAAGGCAATGAACTGCAGTTATGGGAGTATGGTGTGGACTGAAGTCAATTTCTGTAAACATTAAATGAGAAACTTTCCACTGAAGTGATGACAGTGTGGTATTACTATACACTCTAGTAAGTTCACAGTAGGAAAAACGCTTCTTTGGAACAACACTCCTGCATGCACACATACACACACACACACACACACACACTCACACACAGGCACAACTGAAGAAATGTTTTTAGAGGTTTAAATACACTGCTGGATCTTTAAACAGAGTTAGCTTGACTAATTGAGATGTGCTGTTTAGTTACATAAGTTAATTTAATACAAACACATTATATAAATTAAGTAAATTAATGGCCTGCAAGTTTGTCCCTCTCTGTCTTGCAAAATGGGCAGATATGTGGCTTGCGTGTGTGTGTGTAAGACTAATAAGCACTTCTTTGTTGTGATTTTTAATCAAGTAAAAGTCTGTTGTACGGCTAAATACTTAGAATCATCAAAATTTGATCGGTATCAGAATTGCATTACAAATTAGAAGTAATCCTCTCAGTCCCAAATAGTAGTGTTGTCTACTAAAAAAGTTTTATATCTCTTCTTTTATCATAAATTACTTTATAATTTATATTTCTCAGCTTTAAAAGGTTTTACTTCATAAATAAAAATTACTATATGTGATATATTTTGATTTATTAACATATTGCAAAATCATTTGATCAATCTTATTAAAATATCCATCACCTCACATACCATTACTTTTCATATGTGGTGAGAACATTTAAGATCTCCTGAGAGGTGTTTCAGTCTAGAATGCATCATTATTCACCATAGTAACCACATACATGAGGACCTCCTGCTTTGGGATCCTGTGTTCCTGACACTAACCAGTATCTAACCATCCAACCTCTGGAAACCAGCATCTACTCTTCACTTGTATGTATTTAACTGTTTAGAATAGCACACAAAAGTGAAATCACACAGCACTGATTTTTCTTTTTACCTTATTTTAGGTAGCATAATGTTCTAAAGGTTCATACCTGTTGTTGCAAAGAGCAGAATTCACATTTTTAAAGGCTGAATTGTATCATATATTGAAAACACACACAACATACATGTGTATGTGTGCCTGTATGTATAGTATGTATCTATGCACATCTCCCATTTTCACTATCCATTTATCTTTTAACTGTTTATATAACAATTAAATGATCTAATTAACAAATTAAATAATATAATTTGGTACCACAGGAATCAATTTTAATGTATTAATTTCCAGCTAATTTATGTATATTAGGAGGGGAAACCCTTCATTTAGAAAGCAAAAATTCTACTTTAGCTTCTAGTTCATTACAGTGATAAAGAAATGAAGCATCACTTTATTTCTTAGAAGTGAGGTGTGGAGACAGAGTAAAAGCCATGGGTGTCTATAAGACATCCCATAAATCTGCATTTCAGTTCCTGTTGCTATTCTACAGTTCCACCAGCTAAGCTGAGAGCCAAAGAGTCAGTCTCCTGCACCAAGCTATGTGTGTAGAGTGGGCCCTGATGTCTTCACTCAGCCTGCAGAGCTCAGTGTCGGGAGCAAAAAAGGGAGGCCAATTCTGAACTTGGCCTCATTCCACCCATGGTGTCCACTGACTTTAAAATCACGTGTCACTCTTTAGAATAAAGTCATAATATTGTAGTTTTTAATATACAATTAAGAGAAATATAAAATCAGTATGAATTTACACATTATTCATACAGTGAAATTGAGTTTTTTTGAGAGGATAACCCTACTACTTGTCAATACTTCTATTAATTTTTTGAAAAAGTAAATATATTTTAACATAAAATCCTCCTTTATGAGGAAACTATGTCATCTTCTCTTTCAGTAGTTTTCTTAAGCTGCAAAGAAAACTATCTGGTAGAAATGAGTACAAAGTTCAGTTATCTGAAGCCACAGTTATCTGTTCAACTCCTTGCTTTTGTGCCCATTTAAGCCTTTGTTTCAAGCCCTCCAATGCTTTCTCATTTTTTAAGCCACAGATCTCACAAGGGGACTCTTGAAAGTCAACCAAGCCACTGAGCACAGGGCCACCCACTGCCTGGCACCTGGGTTTCTCCTGAGTGAGACTTCTAGGTCAGGGTGGGAAGGGCCCAGCAGTCTGAGGAGTCACAAACACAGCCGCTTCTCTGTTCTCCCCTGAAATGCCTTCCCGGACTTAGTGTCCTTTATCACTCTTTTCTGGAGTTCCTCTGTGGTTCAGGAACCTAAGCCATCAAGTGACTCTGTCTCTGTTAAAAGTCCTGTATACCATACAAAAAGTGGTAAAGTCCTGTACACCACATGTGTAAGTTCAGATCTTAGGAGTCAGCACCCAGTTGGTTGCCACACAGATTGTAGCTAGGTATCATTTGATTATAGTATTTCCATTGTCTTTAGTTGTAATTACCTAAGACAAAATTCTGAATGGAAGACTTTCTCAAGAAGCTGCTTAGGCACAGGAAAAATAATTACCTGAGGTACCAAAAATAGAGCATCTTGCACCATCAAGTATGTTAAGATCAAATATTTGACCCCTGTGCAATGACATTTGCTTTGGTTTTATTTCAAATGTTCCGAATTTTCCTGTGTCCGGAAGTGCTGCATCACGGGGTGCTGTATACACAGGGACTCATCCAAGGGGAATCCTGTGCTGAGTGTGCTGCCAGGGTCTGCTTAGAGGGGGTCCTGGGGGTCACCTGTGACCCAGAAGGGCACCTCCCTCCTAGCGCCCCCCTTCTTGCTTTGCTTCCTGGCCCAGGCTCTGAGCAGAGTTCTTCTTCACAGGCCCTTACTCCCTCCTGCTCTTCCTACCTGGGGGCCAGCAGAACATGGACTGAATCTGAACAAAACAAATCTCTCCTCCTTTAAATGTGGGTGTGAGTGTTCTGTCCCTGAGATATGAAAATGTCTAAGTCAACAGTAAATAAGACCTAATCTTTATGCTGTAACAGAAATCAATACTACTATTAAGTAAAATAAACCTGTGTTACCTGTGTCAGATAAAAAGTACTTCATAGCATGCGAGCTGCACTTCCTAGAGCAAGAGGGATGATGAGATGTCAGATGACTCGGGACACGTTGGTCTGTATTCACAGAGTTTTCTTTCACCAGATACACTTAAAAACATACAGATTTGCGTATTTTTCTTCCATTTTTTTCCTGGCCATAAACTGATACTAATTCACCTCAATTTTTCAGTTTTTATCCAGTGATTTTACAGAGGAGAGTTGCAGATGCCCTGTGATGTCTGGATGCCTGTCTGCCACTTTATGACCTAGAGGCTGTCATTCCCAGACACTGAGGAGGTGGGGACCTTGGGGTGTGGGGCTGCAGGAGGGGACAACGCTGTCTTCTCTTGTGGATCCCACTTCTTCTGTTCCCTCTCCCGCTGTGAAACACTGATCCTCTCCATACTGATCACAGCTGTTGGTGAAGTCTCTCTGCTCACTCCCTCCTTATTGTGCTTCGTACTTTCAACCTTGTCATCTTTACTATGAAGAAAGGGGACCTTTTAAAAAAGCTTTCTTACAGTTGTAAAGAAGGCAATTTTTTCCTAATGGGAAAATACAGAATATTAATGCACTTCAAATCCCTTATTCTTCCCAGGAAAGGTTATATTGAACGTCAACATCAAGAAAATCAGATCTGAAGAGATGGATACAGAAGTGGTTTGTGCTTAGTGAAAGATATACCCAGAAGTGCTGTGAACCACCCAAGGTACTTGGCCTTCAGCTCACTGGGGTGGGAGAGGGAGGAGCTGAGACTGAAGCCAGTGTGGCTCCTGGTCAGTTCCTGATCTGAGAGAGGAAGGAAGCTCATCCAGAAATGACAGTGAGTACAAGGAGTAGCCTGCAGTGGTGCTGGAGGAGAGGACAGGCAAGGGGTGTCTGGAGCAGAGGCCTTTCCAGAGAAGCACCAGGCTTTCCTCACTGCTTCAATCTAGGACCTGTAGCTCTAAAGCTGCTTAAGGCCAAAGTCAAAGTTTTACACTCCAATTATTTTGCATTTACTCCTACTGAGCAGATTTTGACCTATTTAGAGCCTATTTTTTATACTCCAGAAAACCGTCAACAACATCTGGTAGATATAGATAAGACCAAATGTGCAACCGTAGAAGTCACAAGTCACCCTGTGCTTCCTATCACTGTGAGCCTGGGGCCTCGGTGTCCTGGGGCTTTGTGGGATACAGGCACCTTGTCAGACCTCCCATCAGGACCTCATCACCTCCTCCCTCTGCACAGCAGCCCGGCTCCAACCTCTGCCAAAATAAAGCCATTCTGTCGCACTGCTGCCAGCTGGTTATGCTCTTTCATCTAATCAACCCTCAAGCTCACTATCATAAATGACCAAGGAGGAGTGCCTAGAATAACATAAAAATTTACAAGAGTTTTCTCACTAAAGTGAAACAGGGCTGAGAAAATATTAATTAATGAAGTTACCGAAGGATTTTAATCCATAAATAATATATTCTCAATGTTGTGGATCAAACAGGGCCTCCTGCGTGCTGGCCAAGCTCTCTACAAGTGAGCTACATTCCTAGCTCTCAATGTTGATCTAATTACCTGGAAGTGCCTTGGAAATGAGTTGGTGTCATGAGCAGATGAATTCACTTTAATACATGAAGTAACCCTGTGGATGGCCACATTGTCTCTTCAATGGTTTCTCTTTAGAGTATGTGGACCTGGTGCACATATTCTTTCATTTATCCATGTAGTGCATTTACTTAAACTGAAGTCAGGTCATTTTCCTCTAGACTACTCTTGAACCATGACATTCTTAACTCTTTCTTAAGAAACACTATGGCCACTCTCATTGATGGTCTCTTACTCTAGCTGGGCTCTTGGGATAACCCACAACTGAATGTTTCTGTGATCTCTGAAGTAGCCCCTAACAGAAATTCTAGCTATTTGCACAAAATTCCTCTGCTACCACCTCTTTGTTACTCTCAGCAAGTGACAACTTGTTCCATAGGGGACAGTGTACAGGGTGCACCAGGGAACTACTGAACAGGTAGGGCTCTCTCCTCAGTTCTATTCTTTTGACTCACACAGATTTCTGTGTCAATAAATCATCATTTCGTGTAAGTCTCCAAGGTGCTTGCTACAACACTGCATTTGTTTCAGTGTCCCTAGTACCCTACTCTAAACAGCAGCATTCCAATAAGCTTAAGCCATGTAAACACAAGTTCTAAAAAGTGAATAGAAAAATAAGAACCAAGATACTCATGTAGTTACAAGATCCCAATGATGTGTGTAAATATATTTTATACCTAAAATGTACCAATAAACTTAATGGGTAAAAAAAAGTGAATAGAAAGTGTCTTCACAGCAAAGGAAATGAGAAAATAAATACACAAACTACAGAATGGGAGAAAATATTTACATCCCAAACAGATAAGAAATCACTACCAATAAATTACAAAAGTACTAATACCTTTAAAACTGGAGAAGTGGCCAGATTTTCTTTGGATATAATCCCCCAAACATAGGCAAACAAACAAAACTAGTCAAGAATTGTACTAAACCGAAAAGTATAGGGTCAGTAAAGAAAGCAATTAGCAGAGTGAAGAGACAGCCTAGGAGGAAATATTGATAAACCATTCATTTGATAAAGAGTTACTACCTAAAGCATTAAAAATAAACACACTTCAATGGGAAGAAAATAAATAAGTCAATTTAAAAATGGGCAATGGACATGAATAGACATTTATCAAAAGAATGGCCGATAAATGTATGAAACCATGCAGTGTCACTAATCACCAGGGAAATGCAGATCCAATCCACCATGAGATGTCTCTTCACACATCTAGTAGAGCAATGAGCAAACTGAAACTAAAAACAGTCTGTGTTGGGAGGATGGAGAAAGAGCCCCTTGTAAAGTACTGGTGGCATTGTGAGCTTGTGTAGTCACAACAGAAAGCAGCACAGAGCACTCTCACGGGCTACAGAAAGACCATCATTATTCCTACATCCAGTTATTTATCCAAAAGAGTTTAAATCGGGATCTCAAAGCAGTATTTGTACTCCCATATTGATTGAATCATAATTTACAAAAACCAAATTAAAGATATCTCTATCATCTATCCATCATCTATTTTTCTGAAGGAAATTATATCAGCACCATGAAATCATATCTGCAATCTCATGCTCTATGTAGCTATTTGCAAAATATGAAAGCTACTCACATGTTCATAGTGGTTGGTTGACTATTAAATACTTTGTGGTCTATATGTGCACAGAAGTAGTATTCAGCTTCATAAAAGTAGGAGATGCTGCCTTTGTAACAGCATAGGTGAAGGTTGAAGGAATTTTGCAGATGGAGCTCAGCCAGACACAAAATGGAAAATGCTTGTGATGCTCATGGTCTCTGTGATGTGTGGTGTCAGAACCAAGACAAATGCACAGAAGCAGGGCAGGGTGGTGATGGCCAGAGGAGGGTGGGATGGGGTGGTGTTGGAGTGTGCAGGGAGATCCAACTATGAACAGTGAGTAACTGTGGAGACTTAACTATCATGAATGGACAGGGAGGGCATCGAAGGGCACAGAGTTTCGATGAGACAAGTGGAGTGATCTCAGAGAGTCTATTATAGCACAACATGGTGACCACAGTTAAAAATAATGTACTGCATAGTTGAAAATTGCTAAGAGGGGCATTAAATAGTCTCACTACAGAAAATTAATTTTTGTACATGAGGTCAAGACCATGATAATTAGCTTAATTTGTTGCTTAAGGTATATGTGTATATGCATACGTATGCATGTTAAGTGTTCCAAGAGAGTAGAATTTAGGTGATCTTACTAAAAATGAAAACAAAATGTAGACAGGTACAATGGTGTATATGTTAGCTGGGTTGGCTATGGTCATAGTCCCATGCACCTGTTCATCAAAACATTGTGCTGTAACCTCAGCATATACAGTGAAATTTAATTTTAAGAAAACGAGGAAATGAGTTGGAATGGATAATTTTATATTTTCAAAATGGAATTTCATGGAGCATTAAAAATGAAAATTTCCCTTCTACACCTGAATTGCTATCAAAAATACAACTGTAATTAAAAGGAACTGAATGAAAACTAGAGAAATACAAATTCATTCATAAAATTTTCAAAAGGAGACAATGCTACACACTACACTCCTTAGGGATATACAGGAAGTGAAACCCACAAAGTTAAGTGAAAGAATGCTTATGGCAAACTTCAGAGTAGCAGTTATCTCAAAGAGAAACAAAATCTGTTGTTCTTTAAACTAAAATCTTCAATGAGTAGTCGAAAAGAACAGAGAGATTTTCCACCCAAGTTTACTGAGGTGCAGTTTGTGTGAGCTGAGGTCACTGATCGGTTCCGTTTGGGTTGCATGCTGGTTCAGAACCCCAGGTAGACCTGGGCAGCCCTGAGGATCTCAGGCCCAACACAGGCTCCACAGATCATTCTGGAATTGGCCGGGGCATGGGCACTGCAGGACTCTGGAACCCAGCTCCATGTGGCTGTGTCTGCTGTTTTGACCCTCTATCACCAGGAGACTGTTGGATTTGCAAGTGACACTTAAGATTATGACATGATTTCAGTGTCACTTATTCTCCTTGAGTATTTTGTATTTCCTTGTGTATTGAGTTGGCATTTCCCTAGCAATTAATGATGCTGACCAATGTTTGTGGACATATTTGTAATTTCCTTTTTTCTTTTATAATGTATTTGTGAAAATCTTTTGACTATTATTTTAAAAATTGAGTCATATGTATTATTATTAAATTTAATCAATTTTCATATGTTCTTGACATAATCCCCTTATCTGATGTGTCTCATAAAGATTTTCTCTTAAGAAAAGTTCCAAAGGGGTAGGAGAAGTGGGAGGAGAAGGGGAAAGGAAAAAAGGGAAAGGAAAAATTATGAGAAAAGGAAAAAATGGAAACAAAGTCTTTGTAAATAGGGAAGGGTGGAGGAGGTTAAGGGAGGGCAAGGGAATGGGAAAAAAATAAGAACCAAGATACTCATGTAAAGTTAAAAGATCCCAATGATGAATGTAACTGTATTGTATAGCTAAAATGTATGAATAAACTTAATGGAAAAATAAATAAATACATATTTTCTCCTAGATTTTAACCTGTCTTCATGTTTTTAGTACAATCATTTATGGGCTAAGATTTTACTTTTCATCAATATATCATTTGTTTTTCTTTTGTAGGTCATGTTTTACATGCCTGGGAAGTGGTTACATTAAAAAACTCAAAGAATTTTCCTGTGGTTTCCACTAGAAAACAGTAAAATATAAACTTTATAAAATGTAAAACTTTATGCCTTAAAACTATGACAAAAATAATTACACATATTAAACATGAGATATAAAAATATAAAATTTTATAACAAAGTTTAGATTTGGGCAATCAATGGTCTCTTTTGAATTAAGTAGCAAAAACTGTTGTGAGATAGGCATCCAGGTTTTTTTCTTATATACGATATCCAGAGAAAATGAACCACATTCCCCACATGCATAATCTTCATTAGAACCTTTTCTTAAACAAGAAGATGGAATCCCCAAAATTATAAGGGATAAAATCTGAAAACTTGAGTATATAAAAATTAAAACCCTTCATATAATGAAACCATTACAAACAAACGAGAAAGTAGGTTAAATATCTTTATCACATTCACAGAGGAGTTAATACATGGGGTACTCCTGTAGCGTCTCAGCAGATGATGGTGAAATACAGAAAGTACAGTGAGCACTGTGCATCTAGGGAAGCTCCGATTAGCATGTCCAAAGGCAGATGATGAGAGGATTTGCAGTCACGGTGCTCCTTCATCTCGGCCCACTGACACAGCATGTCTCCATCCTCTTCATTCCTCATCCCCCCATCCTCCATCTCTAGATCCCCTTCCCATTTGCAAAACATTTATTTCCCTGTTTTCTATTGTGTCTTCTATTTTTTAAAAAAAATTATATATACTTTGGTTATGAGAAGAAACTGTGCAACATTTAACCTTCCATGTCTGATTTATTTCACTGAACATTATGGTCTCTAGCTGCATCCATTTTCTACAAATGATTGGAACTTATCTCTCTTCATGGCACAATTGTGCTCCCACCATGTTGTCTCTATCCATTCATCTGCTAATGACACATAAGGCCCTTCTAAGGTTTAGCCATTCTGCTATAAACACAAGTACACATGTATTTCTGTAATATGATGTCTTTAGCTCTCTTGAGAAGACACCTAGAAGGGGAACAGCTAGTTTGAATAGAATTTCTCA